AAATTTGCTTCTTCTTTTCTCCTTCCAAAACCGGCCATGATTTAGGCGAATTGAACCAAAATTTGGTTGATTGAAGGAGTTGTTGTGGTGTAAAAAAAAATGATTTTCAAGTTGTCTATAAAAGGAGCCCTCATAAGCTAGGCTTCATTTTTTTTCTCCTCTCCTTTTTCCCACAATAAATCCGGCCATACCACCCACTCTCTCTCAAATATTTTCTCCCACTCTCCCAATCTTGAGCCACTAGCACACCATAGAAGAAGACTAGTCAAGCATTCCTCCAAGGGTAAAGAAACTCTAAATCCTCTCTTTCTCATGTTTTAGTGAAGTTTGAAATGTAGAAATATTCCTCTCAAATTTTCTTATACTCTTATAGTTTCAAGCCATTGACAAATCTTAGAGGAGTTCAAAGGTTTATCAAGAGAGAGAGAGTTCTTCAAGAGTAAGTTCTTAAACTGTTCTCCATTGATTTCTAGCCAACTTTAAGCTTAGATTTATGGATGTAAATTTGTGGTTCTTAAGGAGATAAGATTGTAATAAGGGTGTGTGAGTTTTATGTTAGTTTTATGAGTTATGAGGTTAGTTTGATGTGGTATGCTTATGCTCGATTTAAGTTTACTTATTTTCGGTTAGAGAGAAAAATTTCCGGTTACTTTGAACACGGGAGTGAGAACCCTAGAATGAGATTTTTAGGTGTTCTAAAGCTTGAACTTATAGCTCTCGATGTTTTGAACATTTTCTGTGGATGTGACAAAACCCCATTTTAACTCTAAATGTAAGTTTTAAGTCATTTTTCAAAAACAGCATAGGCAGTCCAAAACAGTTTTGAGAACAAAACTGGTTCAGCCAAACGAGACCTTTAGAGACTGAATCTCAATTTTTCATAAAAATGATAATTTTATATTTTAACGAGACGAAGAACTTTTATGAAGAACATATTTTCAAAATCTAAACTTAAGATGTAGTAAAAGACCGATTTCCAAAATGACACAGTTTTTGGACTAAAATAGTTTCAAGAAAAACAGCAACCACTGTTTTCACCCAAACGAAGCCTTTAGAGGCTGAATTTCAACTTTCTCCAAAAACGTGAATTTAAGATCTTGACAAGACGAAAAATTGTCACGAAGAATAAATTTTTGAAATCCGACTCTAAGATGCAGTAAAACACAGATTTCAGAAACTGCACAGTTTTAACGAAACAAAACTAACATAGTGTTGGTTTTAACAAAAAGTTATCAAAGAACCCGAGATGTGATTTCCGTAAAATACTATAGTGTTAAACCTCATTTTAACAGAAGTATTCATAAAGAAAGTTTTCAAGAAAAATGCTTTCTTTTAAAGTACTTAGTGGTTTATCAAGCAAATCATTCCAACGGGCACCTACAAGTCAATACGATAGGTCCTTAGAATTTCGAAGGATTGATGTGGGTCTAACGCCCACATTGATTTAAGAGACTCCGTTTGAGTTTAAATTTATGTGGCCTAAGAGTTAGAATGTCGTGAATAAGTTTCTAGGCCGAATTGGGCCTTAATATCATAATACGTCCAATGAGAAAAATTATGGAGAATAAGTTACTAGATTGGGTAAATGATTTTCAATCTAGACATAAGTATGTTAAGGGCAATTAAGGAAAATAAGATTTTGAGGATTTAACAAATTGATCTTTATAGTAAATTATCCTTCAGAAAAGGAAAGTAATACATGCCTTAAGAAAAGGGTTAGTGATTACGCCTAAACGTGTACAAAAATAAGCGGTCAATTGTAGTACAATTTAAACGGTCGATCCCATGAGGAGGTGTTAAATTGAACAAGAAATGACTAGTAAATAAAAAGCGTTAGGAAAGTAAGCAATCAAACAAAGAAAAGGAATGAGTGTTTTTGATGATTTTTTTGAACAATTTAAAATGGAGAAAATTCAATAATAAAAAGTGGTAAGGCTTTGAGAATCCTTCGTATGCTTTGTTCACCTATTTGGATTTTGATTCATAAATTGACTCAATTGAAAGTTTCACATCCCAAACAATCAATCGGAAAATAAATATTTGAAGAACATATGAATTAAAAATGTATTCGAGTAAATAAAATTCTAACGTTTAGAACTAGGAAAAATTATCTTATGAGAAATCTAAAAGCGACAATATACCGTTGGCAATAATGCAGTAAAAGACTACTCATAAAACAATACCTATCAATATATAATATAATGCAACAATCACATAAAAAGAGCTTGACTAGATTTATATGAAAGTTGACAATAAAATATATTGATAAGAGGAAGAAATATGATAAAAGAAAATTATTTACTCGAATGTATAAAACTTACAAATCATTGGAGAATCAAAATCCAAACAAGTTCACTACACATATAGGATCATCTCTATCCTCACCTAAATACTCTAGCCTAACTTGCACATAATTCCCATAAAATTCTAAAAAGAAAGTATGAAAATAAGAACACGAAAATAAGAGAAAATGTGTGAGAATTTAGGCTCTAAAATCAACAACCTAAACACTTTGACATGCCCTTATTTATAGAGTTTTTGGGCCATGCCAAAGGTTACAATCAGTAACCAACCAAAAACAAACGTTCTAAAATTAATTGAAATTTACAAATGATTAATTGGGATGATAAAAACTAAAACTTAATGAGAAAGGAAACCATCAGAAACGATTTGAGGCTGAACAAGAAGAACAAGCGTTGCACTCCTCAGCTAGCTCAACGGACACAAACGGCAACAAAAAGGAATAGCAAAAGGCTAGGACACATGGCGCATGGAGATTCGCAGAGAGGAGTAATTTGCCGACAACTGGATCCCACCGGACACGTGGCGCATGCTGGTTGGCGAGCTGCTGGAACGCGGGACCCATGCGGAGAGAAAAGGAAATCCGAGTGATGCGGGCGTGGAGGAAACTCGCCCGGGGGAAGGAACCGTGCGCGCCAAGCGCGCTTGTTGCCGTGGGGAAGCAACGGGAGAGCAGCTGGGGCCCGCGCCTAGTTCGTGCAGTTCGCGACACGTGGCAGATGGGATGGGCTCACGGCTTCTCGGCTCGGCTCGGCTGGATGATGGGCTGATGCTCTGCTGTCTTTCTGGGCCGAATTTGGGCTTTTCTTGGGCTCAACTTTTGGGTTTTGCTTGGTAAACTAGCCCAAATCCAATTGTTTTCTTCAAAAACCTGAAAAATAAAATAAATCCAATTAAAATTAAATCCTCTAAATTTAAGAATATTTGAAATTAAAATCACAAATTTGATAAAATAATTTGACAATTATGAACATTAAAAGTGTAAATTTGTGCACTTATCAGTTAGATTCCTTCATAAGTTGTTAAAATAGAATAGCAAACGACAGTTAATCTCACACTCTTAATGGGTGTTCATTTTCAGAAATAAGCAAGTAAGAGAATAGGCTGTTTGACGAAAAGGGAATTCTAGCTCTGTAAATCAGGTAAGTAGGAATCTCGCCTACAACATGAATAGATTTTAAAGAAAAAGTTACACATGTTATATATCCATGTTTATGCTTTAAGTATTGTATGCGATGTTATGTCATGCTACACACATAAGCAATGCACATGAATTATATGTGTTTGAGTACATTCCATGTTATGGTATGCTATGCCATGTCATATTGCATACACCTTAATAAGTCAAGAAGAACTTATAAGAATAATCTAAGTGAGTTCCGTACCAGCCTCCGACTCAAGGGAGGTAACTCAAGCTCCGACTCAAGGGAGAAAAGAAAAAAAAATATAATAATGTCCTTCGACTCAAGGGAGGCATTCAAGTTATAATCACGGTTTCGTGGGGGACCTTGCAAACCCTCACGTCCCGATAATTGCGCGCAAGTGGTACGCGAGCACTCGGGCTTACAAGAAAGAAAGATAAGATATGATAAGATAAGATAATAAGACTATGATAAGACATCATAATCAAGCATAATCAACTCATACATATTTATTCATGTGTACTCACAGTTATTTTGCGAGATATAATTCCTACTTGCTGAGCGAAAGCTCAATCAGATATGTTCATGCTGTAGGTAAGAAACCTGTCAGCAATTCTTGAAGGACAATGGCGAGCGGCGGACGAATGGTGGAGATGGGAATGGATACCGCTCACAATTAAATCTTCCGTAGTAAGTTAAAGTAAAATCATGTTTATGTATATATGATTCAAAAGTTTCAAGCACATATGTTTAAAAAGTATATGTACATATGTATATTAAGAGAACCGAGATTGTAGCTAACAACCCTAGTCTTGAGTTTTTAAGTTTTAGAACGTTACAACAGTGCATGCAACAAATAAATGAATTTTAAACATGACGATTTAAATGACTGATTTTGAAAGGATTTTGAAAGGACTTTAAGTGTTACGTGAATTGAAGATTTCTCACGAAATCCGTTTTAAAGTCAAATTAGATGGCCCGATCAAATTTGCTAGTTTTAGAAATGCTTTTAAAGAGTATTTGAAACAAGAGTTCAAACGCCGCTCAATTGAAAGATACGATTTATGAAATTATTCATTCTTATATATAAAAAAAAATGTTCCGCAAATTTTAAGAAATCCCAGTAAGTACAAGTTAAAAAAATAAAGTTAAGCTACAGTGACGGCCTCATAGGAGGGTCGTCACACACAGTTCCCCATTCAAACGAAAACCGATCCTACATTCCAAAAATTGTAAATAAACATTTTTATACATCTGTGAGACGATCCACTTGGACGATGAACTGGTGAACCTAGTCAACCTCCATTCCAGAAACTGATTCATCTAAGATCTTCTGAAGTTCCTTCAATCTTTGCCTGGTTAATGCAATACAATCCTGCAACCACAGAAATCTTCCATGTCAGAATCCAGTTAATAAGTTCTGTATATCTATCTGTTCGTAAGCATTCCAATATTGTATTTATGTCCATCAAGTAGATTGACACGAAATTGCTTCGACTTATGATTGGCCTCCTTACATAACTTTTGAGGCAAGTAGAGACGAACCTGAACAGATGATGTGAAGGCAAGAACCAGTCCACCTGGCTTGTAAAGATACACAAGTTGATCAAACGTATCCAAAACCACGGTAACAAGGGTTTCAAAAATAGTCTCTTCCTCTGCAGTAGGGTCAGCCAATATGTAATTCTTGTGAAGTACACATGTCAAGGAAAATGGAATCCTGTTTAAACTGAGCTTTCTTTTCTCTTTATTAACTATATCTTTTTCTCCATTTTCCTCGGAAACAACGATGAGCTTTCCGTCATCGTTCATAGAAACTACAGGAATCTGCACTGCAAGGCATGAAAATCACAAAATAATAAGAGAGTTGCAACAATGCAGAAACAAAAGTTATAATCCCGAACATAAACTCACAGTATGATTTGAGTTATAAGCGATTTATCACCTAACACGTATTTACTTTGAGCAACTAGGTGATTTTACGGCGGGAAAGGTTCTTGTCATTTCCTTTCTTGTCATTTGCATCATTTATATTTTTGGTAGAACCATTTGCATCATTTATAAGTTACCCTTCTTTGTTTCATAATAAGAACATTTACATTTCCTTTTCTTTCCTATGAAATGGAAAACTTAACATCAAAAGAAAATTTTCTAAGAAAGATATGAAGCAGTATTCCCCCAGACTAAACTTATTAGAAAGCAATTTAATTCCCATAAGTCTTAAAAGCTCATCTGCAGTATATTTGAAATTACATATCTTTCCATCTTGAACAGATGCATACGTGTTCTATGATTTTAACAGATGAGGACGCTGAAAAGATAAAACAAAATACTCCGTCTTAACTGCAAAACAGGTTGGACTTTTAGATGCCAGTTTTACACATTGCACTTATTAGAAAGCAATTTAATTCCCATAAGTCTTAAAAGCTCATCTGCAGTATATTTGAAATTACATATCTTTCCATCTTGAACAGATGCATACGTGTTCTATGATTTTAACAGATGAGGACGCTGAAAAGATAAAACAAAATACTCCGTCTTAACTGCAAAACAGGTTGGACTTTTAGATGCCAGTTTTACACATTGCATTATGCCAGATCTTTACGTTCTCCTGGTTATTCACGATATAATGAAGAGGATACAATTCTTACAGTGAGAGAAGGCGGCAATAGCTGATAGCAACGCAGCATCAAAAAGAGAACCATCAGCATCCAAACAATATATGTCCTGCAAGAGAAAAATCACAAGTTTATTTGTAACTACTATACCATTCCAAAGAAGAAAAACATGATTAACCAAAAGTTTGAAAGCCATTTCAGGTGAAACAAAATGGGTTAACTATAAGCAAAGTTTATAAAAATTAAAGGTATGAAGGTAATGGAAAATATTATAAATCATTACCAAGTAAACCATCCAAGCAGCCTTTCCACTGACCAATGATAAATCCTTTAAATCAATCATTCCAGAACTGCAACAACCATGATGCAAGTAAACAAGGTAGACTTATTAGAACTTCTCGCAACCAAGCTTAGCACCAAAAACCAAAGTTAACCCTCTAACTAAAGTACTTTGAAAAAGTAATCAAGCAACAAACTATGACCATAGAAGTGCTTGACATGCCTTAATATAGTATCAGCCAACTGCTTCGACACAACCGGCTCTGCCTCAGCTGGCCTACCTGGCCTAACGAGTGGAGAACAAATCGGGGGCATGTGGAAATCAATAGCTGAAAATATCAAACTAAACGTTGACACCCAGTAAATCGAAGAGAACAGTGAAAAATGAAACGAATGATAAGCGAAACTAAATACAAGCTATGCAAACTCAACCTATGCATCCCTCATCTGGTGACTCCTTTGAAGGGGTCATGACCTCCATTTTAATAGCAGCCAACATGGTCTATAACATGAAAAGAGAAAATAAAATAAATAAATAAAAAATAAGCACAGTGTACAAGATCCATATCTCCTTAACACATCTGAACTTGCAAAAGACCAACAAAAGAAGATGCAATTACGGTTAAACCAATCTTAGCCAATGCCGACCCATCAGCAGATGCTACAGCTCCTGTAGTAAAATGCGAAAAGCGAGCTCTTAAGTTACACGGTTTTGAGAACAAAATTAGGAGAATTCTATGGTAGAATATAAAAACCGTCAAACCGTAAAAACTGTCATAACAATTTCAACATACCTAGTTCTATAGTTGTATCTCTTGCTTTCCCAAGCGCTCTACCATCGGGTCGAATCGATTCGGCGAGATGATGCTCGTAAAAGCGAAGAGGGAAAAGTCGTCTGAAAGCATCCACTTCCATTTCTGATGACAAATCCCCTGAAGCATTTGAATGTCCCATTCCCAAACCTCCATCTTGTTTCTGTTCATGTGCACTTCATAACAGAGCAAAAAACGCATTCTTGTTCAGCGTAATAACATGGGACATCAGGCAATTTTTTTTTTCTTTTTTTTTTTTTCAAAAATCATAACTTTTCTTACAAAATGTTAACCGATAAATTGAAATTTCATGATAAATTAAGCTCGAAAAGGATTACCCAAAAGCCAGCAAAGAGAAATGATTATGAGTTAATGAAATGTAAAACGCATTGCGGAGAATTGGATTGGAGTCTATGAATCAGCTGCTACGTATAGAAGAACTCTAGGGTTTAAAGTATCACGTATGAAAAAGCGAAAGAACCCCCAAAATGCAAATTGATATGTGTGTGTGTGTGTACATAGAAAGAGAGAGGTTTTGCTTACTATAGTTGAGAGACCATTGTGAGCCGGAGAGCGCGGAGGGAGAGATGGCAATGGAGCTGGAGGGTTTTCTGGGAACGACAGAGTGATTTGGGGTTTAGTGGGGTTTAGTGGGGTTTGGAAAACAATTGAAATCGAAAATTACTAATTAGTGGAAAATTATTTGAATTAAATTCGTAATTGGGTAGGGCACTAAAAAGAAAAACATAATAATAGTAATAAAAAGGGAATGTCTCTTGTAGATGTATATATGGATGGGACCAATTTTTTAACGGTTAGAGTTGATCAAAATTAAATGAAATTAAAAAGTATGCAGAATAGATAATCTTTATACATATTTGATAGTTGAAAACGTCTAAAAAAATAAACTATCAATAGTTATAGGGGTGACATTCATGTTAGTGGGTCGTATTCGTATCAACTCATTTATTAATCGTGTCAGAAAATATCAACCCAAACACGACATGTTTATTAAACGTGTCAAAATATTAACTCAAATACAACTCATTTATTAATTGTGTTAATCGTGTCAACCCGTATAATTCGTTTAAATTAATATATTGAATAAATAACTAATATAATAATGACTTATTTAACAAGATCATGATATGTTAACATGTTTATTGGTCAATTTATCTTTTCTTTTGAGAAAAATAAATGAATTTTACCTATAAATATTAAACTTCACATTATTTGTATTTAAAATGTCATATAAACTTTCATGTTATATCACATATCATTAGATTGTAGATGGCTCATATAGTTAATTGTGTCACTTCGTGTTAGGAGGTCAACCCTAACCCAACTTATTTCTTAATCGAGCTAATCGTGTCAACCCGATTATGACCAAAACCTATTTATAGTAAACTCAAACCCGCTAATTTTGTATGGATTTTGAGTCGTGTCACCGTGTCGCTATTCGGATTTCTAACCCTAAGTAGTTCCCTTGTTTAAAAGAAAGAAATTAATTATAACAATTTAAAGAGGATATTCTATGTTTTCTTAATTGTTTTTGCAAAAACAAAGACATCTTTGAATAACTTGGAGAAGCCTAAAGAATCCAAAGCGACCAAGCAAAGAATATATTAGTACGAAATAGAGAATAGGAAGCCACTAGGAAACATGATCAAAAGATTGACTAACAAATATCTATAATAATACTTCAGAATTCCTCTCTTCTACTTCAAAGATATAGGTAGCCTTGGATGTCAGTTGAATTATCTTACATTCAAATACTAAGGGGCATGCTTGGTGCGTGGTATTAGAGTTATGTGTTGTATTATTTTAAAATAATACAGGACGCGTTTGGAATTCATTTCAAAATGATTTTATTTTTTATATGAAAATAAAAATGAAAATGTTTTCAATCTCATACATAAATCATTTTTGAAAATACATTTGGTAGTTTTATCAAGAGATTATTTTCAGTGTAAAAAAAAACTTATTAATGTCTCTCTCTCTCTCTCTGCTCGAGAGAGGAGAAAATGAAAACAAAAAATAAAAAACGATTAAAAGTCATTTTTTATTTCTCTCTCATTTTGCACTAAACTAAAAAATCATTTTCATTTTCATTTTTTATCTTTATTGCACTAAACGTCATTTTAAAAACATTTTCATTTTTTTTTTCTCAAAAAACGTAAAAAATAAAAACAGGATCAATTCTAAACACGGTCTAAAATTTATCTTGCTCTCTCTCTACGTTCTATCTCTCCCCCTTTTGCTCTCACTCCATCTCTTCTCGGCTCTTACTCTAGCTCTCTCTCTTCTATCTCTCTTTTATAGCGTCCAAAATTCTCATGCTGTCAGGCGAATCTCACGGTAGTTTTGCAGCATCTTGCTGTGATTTCTTTGCATAGCCATACGTTTCCATTCAATTGTAAAAAATCATAACCAAAAACCTTACTCTCTATCTCTCCCCCCGTTCACCCTTTTTTTTTTTTTTTCCTTTTTCTTCTCTCTTATCTTCTTCTTTCTTCAAAAAGAAAGACATATGTCCTTTCTTCTTTTTTTCTTTTTTCATTGAGCTTTACTGTGGATTGGTTGGTATTTAAAGAATTAATTGTTATATAAGCCACACACATTGTAAATCGACAATTCACTAACATATATGAGACGTTTAGAAGGGGGATTCGTGCCATAATTTGAATCATAGTTCGTGGCTTGATGTATTTTCTCTCATAAAAAATATACGTAAAACGAGAATGATTCTAAATCATGATTCTGAATCTATGAATCAAATGTCCTCATAGTGTTTTTTTGGTAAATCTTTTTACAAATAAATATAATATGTGTTCTGATAGTAAATATTTAATTTATCGTGTAAGTCTTAGATTTATCAGCAGTTTTAAAAAAAATGTTTATCTTATATTAATAAAGTTAATATAAATCAGTGGCAAATTTAATCACATTGCAAATCCTTAAAAAATAAGGATGATTATTATTCTTTGCTTACACCTTCAAATATGTAATTCGGACGGCTATTGAAAGAAAAAAAGGCCGGTGATGAGATAGAAGAGCAGACCTACGAACATTAGATAGCTTTTAAGTTTCAATTTTATTCAACTTTACTCAATTTTATTCAAGTTACAACTTCAACTCAAATTATAACTCAAATTCAACTCAAAAACTACACTCAAGTTACACTCTAAAAGAACAACCCCGAATTCATTTCTTGAGTATTGCCCACACCATTTAAAAAAGGTAATCGAATATGATAGTAAATTAAACACTGTATAAATTAATACAACATGTTAATTCCAGACAAAACCAAACATTTATAGTTACAAGATTGTTTAGTGTCACTTATATTTGGACTTAATGAAAAAAGGATTGATTGTGATTGTAGTACTTTTCATAGATATAAGCTTATGGAGGTCGATTTCCAATAGAAATTTGTATTAGGATTAATGACAAATTTTTAGAGTGGTAGATGTTTGATATTTGCCTAAGATTGATCTAGTGGATAAGCGATAAAATAAAATGTGAAAAATAAAGAGAGACACTAGAATTTATAGTGATTTACCTTAAATTATAATACTACATCCACTGAAATATTTGTTATTTGTATTATGTAGAGAGAAAATAATACAAAGAAGCTTGGAAAGCTTGAAAGAGACAATAATAGAGGAAAGAGAGAGGAATTGGTTTTAGGGCGGTAGCGCACAAGTTTGTGAGTCTTGAAATCCCCTTGACGTAATGGGAAGGCCTTCTTTTATAGTTGTAAAATGTAGTTGCTTATTTTGGGTAGTTTCTTTTTTCTCTTATTGTTGATTTTCTTGATTGTGTTTTGATCTTGTTTCCTCATTCACCTTGAATCTTCTGTGATTTAGGCTAACCTTGGTGCAATATAGAGCTTTCCCAAAATCCTGGAATGGAAAATTCTACAGAGGATTCTCATAATATTCTTTAGAGTAGTGATTCCTCTACTTCGTTGAGCAGTCACAGTCAACTCCAGATATTGTTGTCGATTCCTGCT